TTAAGGTTAATATATCCCTTTAGTGCCTTTACCCATCCCACTCAGTTGAATTCTGGTATATCGTGGACCATCAGATTATTGGAATAATTTGGTGTGGAGGATTCAAGTGTGAGGTTATACCAAAGGAGATATGACAATCCTAATATGATTTTTAACAATATTTTAATGAATGTAGTCAAGTATAGTTCTTATGGAAAATCACACTGGATTACTGGCATATTAATGTAATGCAATGGCAGTACGCTACTAGCCTGCTAACATAAAATGCAAAAAATATGGGTTATTCTTATACTCTGTTAGTCCGTATTAGATTTAGAGCACTTGGATACTTGCCCATGTGCCAATTTTTCTCTGTGAAATTGTGGTTAATGGTTATACGAAGTACAGTAAGCAAATCATATCTACAATTTTATGACCTGTTGCAACTGCACATTTCAAATATGTATGTCCCAAATATTTCTTAAAACTATCTCGATTTTATTTCTCTTTCCAAAAAGAGATGTTTTTTCAACCACATTAGTATGTAATGTTCCTTATTTGTGGACTGTCCTTGTAGCTAGAACTATGCTTCTTTACTTAATGGACTTTTAAGAATTGTCACTTTTACTCAAACTCTTCATTATTATCAGGGGAAGGCTGATGATCAAGCAAGTTGGCGAGTTTTCCAGAATGAGAAGCTGGCAAGACTAAAGAAGGAGCTCAAGCACCGCCGAGATAAACTTTTGGAAGGTTAGTTTCCTCACAAAATGATATTTTGTTTTAGTACATTGAATTATTGTAGCCTCTAGTCCTCTAGGTGCCGCATGGGTGCTCGAGTGGCATTTAGCTCCCTCCCCCTACAACACATTGTTGATATATGTTGCACAACAAGTAAAGTAGTGTAGACTATAGACTTGGTTTGCTTTTCTATTTCCTTTTTTCCAATGCATATGTTTTCCACTTTCGTCACTTAACCTTATACTCCAAGTCCCTCAAGTGGAGGGATTGGTCATTGAGAATACATAAATTGCTTCTTATTCAAAGCACAAAACTAAGAGAGGTATCTGAGGGACCAAAGCTGTTTTCTACCTGATAATCGAGTTGGTATCAGAGTTGTGTCCAAGTCAGGAAGTTAGACACATCAGCTGCAGTTAAGTTACAGACCATTTTTTGCCTGTCACCGTCAAGAGATCCAATCGCTGAAATAAGATGAACAAAATGCTCAGGAATTTCTGGCATCTTGAACCGGATTGGTCTTGCCCCCATTCAATGGCCAACACATTGAATCTGTCTGAAATGACTCTCTCACTAATGCCACTATTCCTACGGTCAAGGAACTCAATGGGGTCCTATGAGGGTAGTTCTCCACACATTTCATAAACATCAACATTTGTCTTCAACTCAGCAGCTTGTGGTTATAGGAAACGTAAACGTGGTGGTTAAGGATGTGGACAGGGTTATCAATTTATTCCTTCTCTAGATAGTTGTAAAAGAAAGGACCTCCAATGCACAATATTTGCCACTATGTTTTTTTGGACGAATTTATATTGAGATTATATTCTACAACAAATTGTTGCCATAAATTTCATGCAAATGCATCCTTCATAGTTGAGATTGAGTTGATGATGCTGGTTTATTTTGAATAGCAAATTGATTGCTTACTTATTGATCTGTTACAGGGAGGGCTAAAATCGACAAGTTGTCTAATGATCTAAAAGTCAGAGATGGTTTGCTTGAATCAGCCATGAGCTTGGTATAATGATGTATATTTGACAATGTTACTATTAATACTTGATTTTACAAATTGTGTAGTTCTAAAGAAAAGATATTACTTGGGTGTGGCATTGCAGCTTGAAGTAAAGCGTGCAGAACAACTTGAGAAGTTCTTTCCAAATCTAATCTGCACTCAAAATCTTGGCCACGTGAGATAACATATTAACATGTTCTCTATGTCTATATGATGATCTGCTCATGCTTATATTTTTTTCTGTGGTATTTATTGATTGACTTGATAAACCCTTGGTACAGATGGCAATCACCTCTGAACTTCTTCATAAACAGTCTGTTGTTATTAAACAGATATGCAAGCTATTCCCTCAACGCAGAGTAAGGTTTCGCAATCAGATGTATATCAGAGTGCTGTTTTACTTGTATGCATTTGCTTCAATGATTATGCATATATATTTTGAATTGGGAAATTATAAGATATGACAGTTGCATGATATTCATGATCAATGAATACTTTGGACTAGTTGTTTTTCTTCGTGAGTTTGGGTGGGGGTGGGGGTGGACGGATGATTTCCACATGCCTGCCATGTAGGCGTGTCTAGCTGACAAATAATGATAAAGATCGCTCCTATGCTTGTGGACAATGGATTCTGTTGTTGCTAACTCACTAGGCGAGCGTTGGTGTTCTACATTTTTTATCGCGACTTGCCTATGATGAATATGAGAATGTTAATAAACCAGATTTTCTTTTTTGATATATTTTTTTATCGCTAAATGCAAGTTGTTTATCTGTAATTGAACTCCTGGACCATTCATTGCCCTGTACGTTTAAAGGTAACATAACATTACAGGTTACTGTAGATGCTGAGAGAAAAGATGGATCTAATTGCCAATATGATATTATCTGTAATGCTCGCTTGCCAAAAGGGCTTGATCCTCATTCTGTTCCTTCTGATGAGCTTGCTGCTTCTCTGGGGTATTCACTTGTTGCTTTCATGATCACATGCATAAATTTTCTAAAACCCACTCGTTTGAATTTCTCATCTTACTTACATTGCCGCATCTCCTAATTCTGAGTCTATCAGTTTGTTATACCCTTATGGATGTGTAATCAGTTTCACCTTTTTTGAAGTGTTGATGTGTTTTACAAGTTGGTAATCTCACTTGTTTCGAGCAGATACATGGTGCAATTGCTGAATCTTATTGTCCGCAATGTCTGTGCTCCCTCGCTTCATAACTCAGGCTTTGCAGTAAGTCTCAAGACTTGAAAAATTTACATACACATTGACACAAATACCCCTGCAACCTGCTGAAACAGAGAAACTTTGTGTTCTTGTGTAGGGCTCATGCTCTCGAATATGGCAGCGTGATTCTTATTGGGATGCACGCCCATCATCTAGAAGGTTCTAGGTTTTGCTGGACCAAAAAGTATGCTCTTTTTTTTCTTTTTTCCCTACTTACCTTTGTTTTCTGTGATGCAGTGGTGAATACCCTCTTTTTATTCCACGCCAAAATTTTTGCTCTACTGTTGGAGAAGCTTCATGGTATGAAAAAAGCTCAAGTAACTTTGGTGTGACCTCTATGGAGTCTGATAGGAAGGCTCGTTTGGATTCTTGTAGAAGCAGCAGTTTCAGCTACTTGTCTGCTTCATCACACTCAAAAGAAACACACAAGGAGTTGCAGAAAGGGATAGCACTTGTCAAGAAAAGTGTTGCTTGCATAACGGCATACTGTTATAACATATTATGTCTAGATATTCCTGCAGATGCCTCAACATTTGAAGCATTTGCAAAGCTGTTGGCCACCCTTTCTTCTACTAAGGAAGTGCAATCTGTTTTTTCTTTGAAAATGGCTCGTTCGAGGTACAATTACAACAATGGTATTAACAAGAATAGGTTTTGAATTCTGAACTGAGAATGTAATTTGATGATGATAATTCAGGTCATCCAAGCAAGTCCAACAATTCAGCAGACATGCATGGGTTGCAAATTCATTAGCTTCCTCTAGCACTTTTATGGAAAGTGTGCATGCGTTGCCATCACAAGTAAGATTTCTGGTTGATGGTCTTTGTTAAAAGGGGTTATTTTTTGGGGAATTAAATTTCAAGAATTGGATTCAGTTATGGAAAAGTGACGATCTTGCCATTAGATTTTGTTTGTTTGGAAAATTTTGTGTTTTATAATCTAATCTAGGCTAACCTTGTAGAGAAATGCATATGACCCTAGTAATCATCCAAGCTCTACCACAGCCAGTTTGAAGTATGCAAATGAGACATCAGAGGCAGGACGGAATGGAAATGCAATAATTGAAGGGTGGGATCTAATCGAGCACCCCACCTTCCCCCCTCCACCTTCACAAACCGAAGATGTCGAACATTGGACTCGAGCCATGTTCATCGACGCTACAAAAAAGTAACTCATTGTCGGCCAAACCTACAACAACCCCACCCCACCCTGTAAATACTACTGTACATAGCCCCCAGTGTATAATATGGATAATGCTAAAGTCACCCCACCTTTCACCTTATATCTGTTCATAGACATTCACACACATAGAACAGTAAAAAACGTGTGTCCGTGGATGTCCGTGGGAAAGATGGGAGTGAAAGATGGGCGCCATTAGCAAGGTCCATATAATATACCCCGTATATAAAATGTAATTTGACTCTGAGTTTTTTTTCTTCTTCAGTCTTGTGCTGCTTGGGGATTTAGAACGCGAACAGAAAAATGCTACGGTAATTTGTTCGTGGCTTGGTTCAGGGTCTCAATGCTGAAAGTATACTCTATGTAGGTCGGTACTCCCTCTCAATTTCTCGAGTCCACATTGACAAATCTTATGAATTACCTAAGTAAACATTGTGTGGTTCGGGAAGTTGACTATGGAGTGAGTTTGTCCAAAATACCCTTACTAAAAAATACTTAAGCATGAGAAATGAGAATATTAAATCCGGACAGAGATAAGAAGGGAGAGAAGTTTTTTTTTTCTTTTTCCAAACACATGTATATAAGAAATGAGAAGATTAAGTTGGTATAGTGAAAATGAGAAACGAGAAGATAAACTTGGGGCGAAGAAAGTAGTTTTGATTTTGTGGAGGGAGAAGTGTTGTGGATACCAAGGTGGAGGTTCTTTGAAAGACAAATGAAATGTCTTCACATGGAGACATATGTTGTACTTCAAAATATTTTGGGATGTTGATTGAAATTATCAAAAAACCAATCTATTTGAAATTACTGTGGAATCAAAAAACAAAATTTATGGAGCATATATTTAAAAAATAAACAAAAAAGGTTTTCAAATCAAGAAGTCACATTATTGTGTTGTTTTATTAAATGAGTAACAAAAATAGATAAAGAAATGGTTAACGTAGAATGGTAAACATGCCGCTTAAATTGTGATGCAATAAGTATTACAACATATAACTTGAATAAAAGGCAAAAGTCTTGCTTCATGTCTTCCTCTTTTTCGGTGGTTGGGGAGCGCCTTCCTCTTCACTCTCTTCATCTATCTCGCCATGGTCTTGAATCTGATTCACGTCCTCATTCTCCTCGTCGTCATTCTCACCACCGTCGTCGTCGTCATCATTATCACTGTCATCGTCGTTGTTATGGCATTCATCACTACCTTCACCATCGTCTTCATTATTGCCTTCCTCATAATCCTTTTCATCATCCTCTCTTCCATCCTGGTTGTCGTCGTCGCTTGCGACTCCCTCTTCATTCTCATCATTTTCATTGTCATTGGGGTTGTTTTCGTGAGGTTCTCCGGCACGAGAGGACTTGACATCCTTGTTGTCTGCGGGGCGCCCGTCATTCTCATCTCCCTCGTGAGGTCGGTTGTCATTGTCATTCGCCATGAGATATATACTCCTCACTTCTCAATTTGATTTCCTGAGGATTTATGTATAAATACATTTATATTTTTGACCAGTAATTAAATAAAATTTATATTTAATATTGATACAAAAATAATGGTTCCATCATCTCCGATGGAGCTAAAAACTTTAATGAACGGGAAAAAATATACAGAGAAAAAGTAGAGATAGACAAAGGAACCTGCTGCTGCTGCTTAGCCTTGGAGCTCAGAATGGACCAAAAATAAGTTTTAGGAGAGAGAGAAAGAGATCATATGGGGAATTGAATAATTGGGATGAGAGAATATATGCATATGTTAAAAATAAATGTGAAAGAAGAGCATATGATACCCACCGAATCCAATCCCTTGTTCCTTCCTACTCAAAACATCACCCAAACTAAATTTACCTTTCTCTAGTTATTACTCCCTCCGTCTATTAATTTCTTCGGACTGCCACAAATTTATTTTCTGCTTCTTATTTTGATCAAAAAAACTTTTAATGAATGTGTCATTATACCTCTACTTTTCATCTACATAATTCATTTTATTACATTACATCAAGGACAAATATGAAAAGTCTTTATAATTTTTTAATTTTTCTTAATCTCCGTGCAAGTCAAAGCAGAACAAAATTATTGGACGGAGGGATTATATGAAAAAAATACTCTTATGTGCATAACATTTTTAATGGTTCTAAACAAGTTTGAGCCACATTTTCTGTTTTTCAATATTTGTATCAGACTAAGAATTTGCCACTAAGAATTCGGTTAAGTAATGATTTTGCTTGATTTTTTTTGGTCAAAAATTGACAAAAAAAAATTGAGCGAAAGAAGATTGGACAAAAAGATTAGTAAGAGTAATTATTATCCGTGAGTAATAAATTAATTAAGTATCATTTCAAAAAATAAAACAATGTAGTCTTCTTATCTACCCCTGCAGAAAAAAGGTACCCCTTGAAACTAATTTTCAAAAAATAGAAAATAAAAAATAGTTTGCTTGTTATTTCGGTTGAAGAAGAAGAAGAAGAAGAAGAAGATGATGATGATAAAAGTTTAATTTGTAATATTGTACAGAACATACACACCATTACTTGGAGGTGTATACTTGCTTTGTCTATATTATTGTATGAAGAAAATGAAAGCAGTATAAGGGTTGCCACTTGCAACATTTTTCTAAGGAATGAGGTTGTCCTTATATAATGTAAACTGTATGAAGTTTTAGGAAGTAAGCATAGGGGTCTAATGAGAATAGTCTTTCTGTTTTCTACATGGGCAAGATTGTACTCCCTATATATCTAGTCTTTCAAGTTCCAAGGCTCAAACTAAGTTGAAATTATATTAGGTTTGTTGTACTATACTAAATCATACGAAACGTAGATTTCTACATTTTTAAATGTTTTTGCTCGTAGATGACAAGAACATATTGAGAATTGGTCCAACTTTCTCCATGTCTCAATAGTCAATATGATGTTTTTTTAATCTGCTAGTGTGGTAGTACAAATTAAGCTAGATCATTTATCGCGATAATAAACAGTTATGATACAAATTGGCCAATTGCCCTACTTAAAATTAACAGCAATAGCAAGTTAGATGGTTATATAAGATGAGTAACACGAATCTATGAATTTGAACTAGAGAACTATAAAGAAGATCATTAGTGATCAAAGGGAATGTAAGTTAAACGAAAATAAAATGGATTCATGTATAATTTGACTTTAAGTAAAAAAAACTCGAAACATCTAATAGTAATTTCGTAAGATATGTGTTCACATCAACAAACAACATTAACTCAGTGCAAGGCTCCCAGCCATTGCGGGTTAAGGGGCCGGATGCACGCAATCTGACCTTGATGTTTAAAACATTGAACGGTTGTTTCCAGTTACCCATAGTGAACATCAAAAGTTACGGGTCTTCACGTCGAAAATATAAATAAAAATACCGATACATTTGGTATTATAAGGCTAGTATTTATGAAATTCAACTGAATATACTCAGTATAGCCCTTATTTTAAATAATACTCCGTATAACCAAAATATCAATAATTTTAACATTAGATTATACTCCTTGTATCCCACAAAAAAAGTTTTGCATTTATTTTAAAGGTTTGTCTCAAAATAAGATTACAACTCCCCTTTAAGGCGTGAATTATGTGATTCACATTATTTCTCTCCCTGCATAAATCTCAACCACAAATATCAACTCTCTTAATCATTGTGCTGATTCTAATATGAAACCTTATTTTGCAACCAAGGGAGTAGAGCTTTTCTTGAAATTTATCCTTTTTTGTGCATTTACTGGCGCATATTTGATGACTTAGCTTGATCAATTGATAACATGTTTATCAATTAGATAACCTCTTATAAAGAAACACCATGATAAATAATAATTTGATATCAGAACCCCCACAGTAACATTCAAATTTGAGTTCTAGTTTCCAGTTCGCTAAAAACATTCACAAACAGCATAGGGAAGAATGCCATAAGATATAATGATTTCTCATACCTCTCATTGGCAAGGAGATAGTCACCAAATGCACTTAACGACCCACTATTTTCTTGTACGACTCATACATGCCTGGCAACACATCTTTATAGGGAAGCAGCAATGTCTTCACAAACTTTGACTCTGAGCAGACTATGATGACGTAAAGAGAGGGCATGGTGATACCCAGATTCTTCTCCTTCAAAGCGTTAAATACATCAACCCTCGGCATCACTCTCTTCTCCAGACTATAAGACAGAACGGGCCGAGTGGACATGTAATCCGGTTTCCACCCAAGCGTGTTCATGAAATAGTCCAGCTTCTTTTGAATGTTACCCTCTGAGAGGGCAAAATAACAGGGTTGATGCTGAAACATAGCGATAATTTCTGAATCAGACCATCCGAAACTCCTAAAGATTGCACATTTTTTGTCAATTGACAGCTTACTCAATCTGGCCATTGCATATACTCCATAGACGAACAAGGATGAGCCGCGAACAATGCCGAAATCGTTCTCCAGTATGCTCACCTTCTCCTCAAACCATTTGCGTTGAAAGTTCAAAGAGTCCGGCTTGCTAGCTAGAAACCACCTAATCTGCTTATTTGAAAGGCCAATCTCCTTAAAATAGGAAACAATTTCCAGCATAGCCTGATTGGCAACAAGAATCCAAGGGTAAGACTTTATTGTCTTGCGCAAATCCTCATCGCTACCAAATAAAAGCCTGAGGGAAGCTATACTGGGCTTGATGATCGAATCTAATCCCCTCCCAAGAATGTCCGGACCCTTCGTGAGGATATCGGCGATATCCGAATCGGAAAACCCTAGTTCCCTGAGACATTCGAGTTTGGGGATTAGGTTTTTGTCGGCGTCGAAGTACAGCAATCTGGGGTATTTGGAGACGCAGTTCCTTATCTGGGTCGAATCGAGGCCGATATTTCGCAGACTATCTAGGACTAGAACGGGCCGGGTCGTGGATGAGTAGCGGGTTACCTTGGCGGATATGGAGGTGGATTCTTCTCTGGAGAATCCGAGTGAGTTGGTGAGGAACTCCGTCACGAACGAGGGTGCAGTTTCTGCTCCGGTAGTAGTACTATTAGTGGAGTAGAGAAACTTGAAGAAAGGGAAGAACAGCTCCCGGCGGACGCCATTGCAGCGGCGCCCAAGCTTCAGACTAAGCATGGGGTTATTGTACTGGAGGCGTGAGACCCAATTGTCCAAATCTTTTCTCCGCTCTATAGCTTTTCTCTTTATTCTCCCAAAATTCTATAATTGGTCCTTTATAATAAAGGAGTTTCTCTATTTAGTCCTCTGTTATCAAATTTTACCCAAGTGGTTCTTCTTTTATGGGTACCTTTCCACAAATAGTCCTTTTTCTGATCTTTTATCATGTTGGTGTTAATTTGAGGGCTAAAAGTGTTCTTTCACAATGATAATATATCTTTTTTGTCATACACAATTCCAAAGGCTGTTCCGTTTGCGTCGTTTGTGAATTACAGTCGTTTTTTTGACAACTATAGTCTACAAATGTGATCTTTCGTCAGAATCCTAGCCCACAATCATAGTCATTATTTTTGTGTTATCCGCTTAACCAATATCAGAACACGTCACTAAACATAATGTTGTCGTCAAATTATACTTTTAGCCTTTAAATTAACACCAACACGGCAGAAGATCAAAAAAAGGACCATTTGTGGAAAGGTACCCTTAAAAAAAGGACTACGGGGGTAATATTTGATAATAGAGGACTAAATATGGAAACCCTCCTATTATAAAGGACCAATTATGGAATTTACTTTTAAAAGATTGATAGAGTTTACTTAAAAGTTAAAAGATTAAATTAGAATACTTTTTTACCATGAATTATAGAAAATATATATTTAATTATAATGTAAATTTAATAAATTGAGTTTATTTTAAAATATAATTTTAAAATATCAAAGTTTTATAATATTTAATTATTTTAAAATATACTTCAAAGGTCCTATTTAAGTAATAAAAATATAAGAATTATGATTTTGGTATAAATTCAACATTTTAGTCTTATTAGATTGATTCATTAGTGTTGCATACTTTTAAGAATAGAAGAAATCTGAGATTTCAAAGAGCATATTGTATGTGTAGTTAGTGCTCATTTAATCATTTTATTAAAAAATTATTGAGTCCAAGGTTTAATAATACTACGCATTCATTATAATTTTTTAATGTCATTAAAAATCTACCTATATTCAAATAGAATTTTAAAATGTCTTATTAATTCTATCAAAGTTTAGAGGTCTTTAACTCAAATTTTTAATAGGAATATGCTTCGTAGATGAAAATATTTTCCCATGCCACATTACTTCATTGTCATTATACAAAGATCATCACCCCTCTTCAACATAGAAGGTGAGTTGAGTTAATTAATTTGTAATTACAAAACATATATGGATATCACACACAATACAATCAATAACTCTCTATAGATTTCGCTGCAAAGACCAAAACTTATCCCACTTAGATCAAAACCAATTAGATCGGGTGAAATGAACAAGCTCTTACTGTCTCTAGATTTCAACCACAAAATTTGTGGCTCGAACATTCAGGGTTTGTATAGCTTTCCGTCATTTGAAGCATATACAACTAACTATATGCTTAAAAATAAGAGACGTTGGGAGTATTTTTTAAGAAAACATAAATATACACGCTACAAATTGCATGAGCTTCAAAGAAAGATGCACAAATTTACACGCTACAAACCGTCGTTCACTACCTAAAGGCTACGGAGAAATCACATGTCTTTGTACTTCTTGGTTAATAATAAAGTTGCAACTTAATCTCTATCATCAAACTCTTCACCCTATTCGTCTCAAGAGAAAAACACCTGCTGCACCAACAATTAAATCCATCAAAGTAGTGAGTTATAGAGAACACAGGACAATTGAACACTGCTAGAACTGGAATCAACTTAAGCATTTATCTATCATGCCAAGACAAGTTTTACTAAATCTAAGAATGAGATATAATTTGGATTCAAGATATAGAATCAACTATAAATAATCACAACAAACATATAGACATACAATAACAGGTTAAAATTAGGCCAACGCTCAGCTTTAAATAACAAGTAGCAAACTAGAGGGTTACAATAACAAGTAAAAATTAGGTCATTGCTAAACTTTAAATAACAAGTAGCAAGTTAGACAGTTACAATATCATGAGTAACACTTTTACTTTACAACTAATGATTCAAAGAGATAGTAATCGACGATAAAAATAACCCCATAGTGACTTGGGAAGAAAAAAAAGTAAAACCAAGAGTAGGAATGCACCTTGAGTGTGGCCTCACATTTCAATCACATACTGGAAAATGAAGAATGTCATATAATTAATGATCGACCTATCGTCCGACTTTGCTCTTGTATGACTCGTATAAGTCAGGCATCACATCTTTATATGGCAGGAGGTATCTTTCTACAAACTTTGACTCCGCTAAGCATATGATGGCATACAAAGAAGGCCGCTTCTTCTCCTTCATCGTGTGGGTGACAACCTCGATCCTTGGAATCACCCTCTTCTCCAAGCTATAACTCAGAAAAGGTATAGCGGCCATATAAGCTGGTTTCAAACCCAGTTTGTTCATGTAATAATCCAGTTTCCTTTGAATGCTGGCCTCAGATAGTGCAAAATAGTTAGGTTGAGTATTAAATGTAGTGACTATCTCTGACTCAGACCATCCAAAACTCCTAAAAATCTCAAGTTTTCTTTCCATTTTTGACTTGCTTAGATTAGATGTCGCACGAACTGCGTAGAAGAGCTTGCTGGAGCCACGAGGAAGGCCAAAATCATTTACCAGCATATTCACCCTCTCCTGAAACCATCTTGTAGGATAGCAAAAAGGCAGTGACATGATACTTATAAACCGCCTAATCTGCTCAATTGAAAAGCCAAGCTCCTTGAAATACGAAATATTTTTCGGCACGAACCCACTATGAAGCAGCCAGGGAAATGACTTTATTGTCCTGCGCAAATCCTCAGTGTTACCACCAAATATATCTGCGAGGGCAGCTACATTGAGTTTGATGTTAGTGTCCAGCCCACCGGAAAATATTTCCGGAGCCTTAACAATAATCTCAGTGAGATCCGAGGAGGAAAACCCAAGTTCCTGAAGAAACTCGAATTTGGGGGATAGGGTTTTGTCAATATCGAAGTATAGCAATCGGGGAAACCTGGAAACGCATTTTTTTATCTGGCTCGTATCGAGACCGATTTCCTTCAGAACATCTACGACTAAACTGGGCTTTGTTCTGGACGAGTACCGGATCACCTTGGCGGCTATCGTGGCCGATTCTTTTCGGGAGAATCCGAGGGAGTCGGTGAGGAACTCCGGCAGGAACGAGCTCGGGGCCTGTGAAGTTTCTCTTCCGTCCGTAGGTGTAGAGCAGTAAGACCTGGAAATGAAGAACAGCTCCCGGCCGGTGCCATTGCAGCAGCTCCCGAGCGTCAGACCAAACATGGTTTTGATCGGGGAAAAAGAAGATGATCGGTATCCGCGGAATTTGCCACGCGATTTGCGTTGTTGAAGGGTCGGGAATTGGGATATGATCGGATCGAATGGGACTGGATTTTTTCTAATCTCAAATTGAGTGGTTCTTCTTTTCTTGTCCAACGACGTTTGGACCAAATGCTAATGTAGAAATAATTATATACTCCCTCTATTTCCCATTTTTATTATATTTTTTTCTCTTTTGATAATTTTTATTTATTTATATAATTTCATTAAATATTTAATAAAATAAAATATTCTTGTCTCTTCTTGTTTTGTAAAGCTTTTGACATAATTTTTTATAATGTCATTTTTATTACTTATTAATATATAAATTTGTAAATAAAATAATTTCAAAAAATGACAATTTTTTCTCACAAACCCCAATTTATAATCAAATTGAGACGGAAGGAGTAGAAAATTAGTCCGAATATACTTTGAGGGTCTTTCACATTTTTGTGAATGTACTTAGGATACATTTCATTTATTTGACTACTACGGGTTAAACATTTTGTAATATATAAAGTTTATATAAAAGTTTTAAAGTAATAAAATAAATTTTGTATTTCAATTTTTTTGGGCGGTGTTTTAATAACATCTAAGATAATAATTATTCAACTTAGAAGTTGAATGATTTAATTAAAATTTAATAAAATGATAATTATTCAAATTAAATTTAATAATATGAAACCTTCAATTATTAGCAGAAAACACCTTGGAGTGTTTGATTGATCAAAGTAACGAAAGTTTCAATCATAACAATCAAATAGACGAAATGTACTCTCAGAGACACGAATTTTAAGGACTCCAGAAGTATATTTTAAAAAATATGAAAGTTGAAAGTTTTTATCAAAAAATTGAGGGTACCCTAAAGTTATTTACTGAAACATTAAATGTGACTAAAATGATGGGTTTTCACAACTACATAAGCTTAAGATGAGCTCAAATGAAGATAAAGCATCTTATCTAGCATTCATACTCCGTATTTTGTTACACGAGTTTTTATAATGGCCCAAATTTTGATTTATGTCTCATAAAAAAAGGATGAGCTTCATCCCCAATAATCCCTTCAAACCCGAGCAAACAGTCACTAAAAGGAGGTGAATTATGTCTCATAGATTATACGGGTATCTGCCTTTGTGTATGAACTTTGGGTCAATATCTCCATAAACTTTGTCTTGGGTTTACCTCGAGCAAAGTTAGAATCTAGCTCAATTTTTGTTGGAGTTGATAGGTTTAGTAAAATGACACACTGCATTGATTGTCACAGAGTTGATGAGGCTTCACATATTACAAACTTTATTTTTCAAACATATTGTATGAAAAAAAGGAGAAATTGTGTGTGAATACGTAATACTACCGCTATGTTTGGTTCAAGAAACACAACGAGAGCAATGGGCCACGAACCAGGAAGGGGGAAACATGTATTGTTTGGAGTCCTGAAATCTTACGTGTGGAGATTTCAAGTCCGAGAGGAACGAGCCCAAAATGTGTTTATGTGATAAAATGAATTTATGGGATGCAAAGTGATGTGTGATTGAGAAATAAAATCTCAAAGTGCGCCATTAAAGCTAGGCCAAGCTTGCAGTTCAACACATGCATATGGACATCAGACATACAGCATTATAATATCACAAGTCTAACTAAAGATTATGGTGACATTAATCGACAATAATTATAACACCATAGTGACAAGGGACAGAACAGAAGTAAAACAGAAAGTAGGAATGTGCTTGAGTGTGGTCTCATTACTTACAATCACAATCTGGATAGAGAAGAATGTCATATGATGATCGATCTATCATCCAATTTTGCTCTTGTATGACTCATATATGCCAGGCACCACATCTTTATAGGGAAGGAGGTATTTCTTTTCAAAATTTGATTCTGTTAAGCATATGATGGAATAAAAAGAGGACGGCTTCTTCTCCTTCAATGTGTTGGTGACTACCTCAATCCTGGGAATCACCCTCTTCTCCAGACTATAAGTCAAGAAAGGTCGAGTTGACATATAAGCAGGTTCCAAACCCAGATTGTTCATGTAATAATCCAATTTCCTTTGAATGTTGGCCTCCGAGTAGGCAAAGTAATTGGGTTGGGTGTGAAACATGGTGATGATCTCCGATTCAGACCACCCAAAACTCCTAAAGATTGCAACTTTTTTGTCCATCTTTGATTTACTGGCACAACATGTGGCGTAGAGTCCATAGAAGAGCTTAGGGGAGCCACGAAGAATGCCGAAATTGTTTTCCAGGATATCCACCCTCTCCTGAAACCATCTAGTAGGATAGCAAGAAGGGCGTTGCCTATAGGAGACGAACCGCCTAATCTGCTCAATCGAAAAGCCAATCTCCTTGAAATAGGAAATATTTTCAGGCAAATACCTACAACAAAGCATCCATGGAAATGACTTGACTGTCCTGCGCAGATCCTCTGTGTTTCCACCATACACTTGTAAGAGGGAAGCAACATTGGGCCTGAGGTTGGTGTCCAGGCCCATAGAAAAAATCTCCGCGGCTTTAACGATAATGTGGGCGAGATCCGAGGAGGAAAACCCGAGTTCCTGAAGAAACTCGAATTTGGGGGTTAGGGTTTTGTCAACATCGAAGTAAAGCAATCTGGGGAACCTGGAAACGCATTTTCTAATCTCGCTCGAATCGAGGCCGGTCCCCTTCAGAATATCTACGACCAAAACGGGCCTAGTTCTCGACGAATACTTGACTACCTTGGAGGCTATCGAGGTCGATTCTTTCAGGGAGAATCCGAGCGAGTCGGTGAGGAACTCCGGCAAGAACGAGCGCGGTGCCGGCGCAGTTTCTCTACCGTCGGTAGAGGTAGAGCAGTAAGACCTGGAAAAGAAGAACAGTTCTCGGCCGGTGCCGTTCCAGCAGGTTCCGAGCGTCAGTCCGAACATGGTTTCTCAGGGGAAAAAATTAAATTCAGGGGATGGGGTTTCCGCGGAAATTTGAATGGTCGGATCGGAAGCGATCGGGTTGGGCTGGATTTTTTATAAAAGATTTGGATAAAGTTTATCCGAAAATGAGTGGTTCTTAGACTGAGAATATCGTACTTGTACACTTTATATATACTCCTCATAAAAGCTTTCCCCTCCGTTTTCATTCCTTTTTCAACTATTCAACATATATGTTTGAGTAAATTCTATAAAATGTTTCCAGTTATAAGTCGTTTTAAATATTTAGTTCCTACATATCAAATATTACTAATTTAATCCCCATTATTATATTTATTTTCACGAATGGTCCTTTGTTAACATTTTCGTTAAGAACATGGATTAAATTGTAAATTCACACTCATTTCTCTCCTCAATTAAACTTCCTCCATCCCCTCGCACTCCTTTCCCAAACCCGTCATTGAGTTTGAAGTTTTGAACCCAAAACCGAAATCATCACTCTTGTCTCAATTGTTTGTCTAACTGATGGAACCCAAATTCGAAACCAGTAACCTTAATGGATGAGTTTTAATATTTATTTTCTTTGTAATTTATTGAGACTAACCGATAAAACTCATCCATAAAACTTATCGGTTTTGATTCTAGGTTCCACCAGGAAGACTAATAATTAAGAGAGGAATGATTATTTCAGTTTTGGGTTTAGAGCTTCAAACTCAGCGACGAGTTTGGGAAAGAGTACGAGAGGAGGGAGGGAGCTTAATTGAGGAGAAAGAGAATTATGAATATACAATTTTATCCATGTTCTTAACAAAAACGTTAACAAAGGACCATTCGGGAAAAATGATATAATAATTGGGGACTAAATTAGTAATATTTTATATGTAGGGACTAAATATGTAAAACGACCTATAACTGGGAATCTTTTATGGAATTTACTCTATATGTTTCTTGTGTTTATAATGTAGTTAAAACTGTTTATAAGTTATTTTTAATTTATAAGTTAGCAAATGATGTCTTTCTCTGCGCTTATAAGCTGACTTATACGTTACTTATTGTAAAAAAAAATTAGTAAGTTATACTTGTTTTTAAATCAGTTTTTTCGTTTCTCCGTTTTGACCAGATTACTTACAAAACTATCATTTACCTATTATGAATATCTCCAAATGACTTATATACTCCGTATCACTTAAATCATTTTATCTACACGAAATAATTTTTAACTCGTAAGTAGCTTATAAATTAAAAAATATTTATAAACAATAAATCAATAAGCACCAACACAGAGAAACATTCACAGTTAATTTTTTGTGAAACTGAAGTGAAAAAATAATTTTGAAATAGATGGAGTGCTTAGTTAAAAACAAACGAGTTACTAAGTCATCACTCACACCATTCTACACTATAAAAAAATTATATTTCACTAAGAAGAAGAAAAATTATTCCCTAACATGTAGTTGATGTACAATACAATTGTATAGATGATTGTGTGAAGTAGAATAACTGTTTGGAAACGAAAAAAGAACAAATATCATACGAGATCATTGAGCGTGTGGGATAATTTCTTTAAGGTCCCGTTTGGTACATGGAATTCAAACCATGGAATTGGAATTGAGGACTTCAATTCCAATTCTGGTGTTTGGTAGCACAAAAATTATGTGGATTTGGAATTGATAGTGTAAAAAATACATTGGAATTGGCAGAATTCAATTCTATGGAATTGAATCTCATGGAATTTCAATTCCAATTCAATTCCAATTCCGTCAATTCCATATACCAAACGGGCCCTAAAAAATATCGTTTCTAATTTTCTCNAGATCATTGAGCGTGTGGGATAATTTCTTTAAGGTCCCGTTTGGTACATGGAATTCAAACCATGGAATTGGAATTGAGGACTTCAATTCCAATTCTGGTGTTTGGTAGCACAAAAATTATGTGGATTTGGAATTGATAGTGTAAAAAATACATTGGAATTGGCAGAATTCAATTCTATGGAATTGAATCTCATGGAATTTCAATTCCAATTCAATTCCAATTCCGTCAATTCCATATACCAAACGGGCCCTAAAAAATATCGTTTCTAATTTTCTCCAGGTTGAATGCAACAAATTTACTAGGGCTCTTACAAGACAACGTGAGATGTTTTCTTTAAAAAAAAAATGAAAAAACTATCTCAAATAATCCTACTTTTTCGTGTTCTTTCAAAAATAATCTCACTACCACAAGGAGCTAGCTAGTTAGACTAACATATATACATGTATCATCATCACTGCCGCAAGTTTTCTGCATTTGAACTAAAGATTCAAAGTGAAGGTGGAGGGACTGTCCTACCAGATTTGCTTCATTGAAATGTCAAAGGAACTTGATGGGCCTCTCCTACCTCATTTCTCATAATAAAAAGAGGTAAAACCAAAAGCAGGGACTGTCCTCCTACAAACTCCATACCGAAGAATATAATGCCCCGATCTATCATCACCTCACTGGACGAATGCCACCTGCAACATACTCACCTTCCGACTTTTTTCTTGTATGACTCGTACATGCCAGGCGTGTCGTAGCACCTACAAATTAATTTATTATTTTCCTTAACTCTTAACCCTCTTTATGATTCAATATTCATCAAAACATATAGATAGGGTAAGTAAGGGTCGATCCCACGAGGAAAGATACCTTTTTAGGCTATGAAAATCAGTTTACTTTGTCACTTTTATGGAATAAAAACTACTAACTAAAATCTATAACCTAAAACTAAAGGATATGGGGGAGTTTGAATGATAATTCTAAAAAGAAAAAAAAATGCATATAAAATAAAGATAAAGGATAACAGATAAGAGATGGAACCACAACAGCACCTCGAATTCAGAAGACATTCAGGGAGAAACAAACACACAAACAAACACGCATTTAAACTTTATAAAAACGTAGACAGTAATAATTAACTTAAACCATTTTGAAAATACTTATAATTTTTAATAGAAAATAAACTGAACAAATCTGATTAATCCATTAATTATGCCTTGATTCTGAAATTAAACTGCTAATTAAACTCAGGGTTAGGCTGAAGAAGAGGTCCACCAACGGCTCTTCCCTATTTTCCCATTCATATTAGCTCATGTTAAGACCAACCCTAACTCTAAACCCTACTATCCTTAGCAACCCAAAGACCAACCCTTAAGTTACTACTAAGAATAGCGCATTAAAATCTTTGGAAAACATCACCATAACAATCTTGCAGTAACACTACGGTTATTTAACAAAATCAGTTCGAGAACCTTGATTAGCAAAAACCACTTAACGAGGCAGCAAGTATTAATCAAGTGACACTTGGTTTCTAGAAAAGTTCGGCTATTAAAAGCACTTTGGACTTTAAAAGAATATCATTTTAAATTGGATTAGGTCGCGATCCTAATTTGGTCCAATTTAAGTAAAATCTGGTGAATAATAGTTCTCAGAACACCATTTTGAGTTTAGATTTAACAGTAGCTTAGAGCTAAAATTCCTTCAAAGTCAAATTGATTCAACAAACAAAGATTCAATCTTTTTGTCAAACATTTTGGCCTAGAAAGGTTTTATAGAAAGGTTTTATAGTTTCAGAGACAATAATCAATCAATAAATCATAACTTGAACAATTAAACATCAACTCTTAAACAATTCATCACTTATATTATAACTTAAACATTTAACACAAAAGTTGGAATAGAAAATAAATATATTTGATATGGATGTTCAAATTCATCAATTGTAAATTAGTGAATT